CCGAAAAGACACAAAATTTGCGACGTTTTTTTGTAGTCGACGTTTCATTTTTTGGGGATTTTTTAGGGATTATGGTCTAGGGTCAAAGAGGACTTCGTAAAAATTCGCAAAAGTAAAGGGGGACTTCGTCTTTAGCATTTTCATCTAGCCACCTCGTGCCGAGCCCTGAGTAAAAGTAGGAGAGACGCAACGAAATCTCTAGACGATGAATATATATTAATTCACACAGGAGAATTTTCTGCTTTTCTCTAACTTGGAAGCGTTAAAATTTTTATGGGAATGGATGAAAGAGAACATAAACAAACTGATAAGAAAAAGGCGAAGGCAAACGAAATCTGGCAGACTCAGGTTGAGAATGACGCTTTGTGTTCATGTAGTATTAGGTCGTAGCATAAGCTATTCATACATTACGCAGTGAAATTTGTAAAACTTTTTTGCAAGAAATTATTTTTTTCATTGAATTATCTGAAGGCAATAGCTTTTTATGTACATATCACACTTGCAAAATCAACTTTAGAATTTTTGAAGATTTCCAGTATTTTCGGACATTCCCGTTTGCATTTTTGTAAAGCTTAAATTAAGAACTAAAAGTCTTCGCATTAGCACTAATGCTTCCAAAAATTTATAAGGATTTAAAGGATGGGAAAATAATAAAAGAAGTTTTAAAGGAAAAAGAAAGATGCTGAAGTGTGGTTGAGGAATTGCCTTTATGCTTTGGATGTCCTTGTAGGTGACAATGGTGGCAAAGTGTAGCCTTTTGTCTCTTCCTCATGAATGCGAAACATGAGGCTTTGCCGAAGTTTCTAGAATTTTCCGGAGAGGTTCGAAGAAAATGTGACGGAGTTCAGCTACGACCTAATACTTTAAATGCCGCATAATTGTGTCTCCATGCACTTGCTTATGCACTCTAACAACAAACACAACACCTAGCAAAGATCAATAAGCTAGTGGAGCGTATAGAAGAAATGACGCGAAAACTACTTTTTGTTCATTGTATTGACGGAGGAAGCAGTTAAGAAGTTCTTCATGCACTGGCAGCAGTTTGGCATGGCATAAGAATAGCTGCTAAAAGTCGTAGCGCCGAGTTTTGAGTTAAGCGCTTGCAAAGTTTTCAAGCGTGATGAAGTGACTAAGTACGATTTGTCAATAAAATGGCTGCCTTATAAACAGCTCCACTGGAACTTACGTCTATACAAGATGCAAAAAAGCTCTTTGACTTTTCTTCTACGGAATTGTCAAAAACTCATATTTAATCCACGTCTCGACGCATATGCTCTCACATATAGGACTAACAGCATTCAGCCGTGAAGCTGAAAAATCCAGTGGTGGTTTTCCAACCGAAAATTGTAATGCACAGGAAGTATAGGAACGCTGTAGCGCTGCTCGACTTCTAATGAAAAATAGCGTCATGCAGACAGACTTACCTCCATTCTAAGCACTTACACAGGGTGTCCCAAAAGTAAGTACACACTTTTTAGCGTGAATAACTCTCAGCCACCGAGTTTTTACCTCAGCTTTGAGTACCATTCAGTAGAGGAGCTTCAACTTAGGTCTGAAGTATGGAGCGAATCACCCAACTCTCGTCAATTACTGTAAGATCACGGAAGGAATTTTAAAGAAGTTTTTGAGCCATTAATAGCTGCGCTTTATCGTAAAAATTTTTTTCGTAAATTAGCCAAGTGAACCACAACAACGTTTTCTTCAGTTTTTTTTTCAAAAACATAATTGAACCGTACAAAACCCTTAATAATTCATAATTAGTTGTCTGATGAAGTCAGCATGTCTGAAAACACTGCTAACAACTTTTCAAATTTTTATTGGGATATTTTGTCAAAACGGCCTATTTCACAATAACGCTGTAAGCTGGAAGTTCCTACCTAATCCTATAGTCATGAAAGGAGATGGGTAATTTGCCCTGTACTGTAAGTTAAGTTAAAGCCTTCTCTACTGAATAATACTCAGTGCTAAAGAAAGGACTTAGTGCGAAGAGAGTCTTAACGATCAAAAAGTGTGTCCTTACTTTTGGGACACCTCGTATAATCGTAAAGATGATTTCACGAAAGGCATCATTATATTAGGTTGCTCCGAAACTGATGTCGCTTGGATGCCACATTTCGCGGAACATAGATTTTTAAGAGATCTTGGTAGTATTCGAGGCAGCATGTCATCCTCCCAATGGTTATAAAATCGTTGCAGTACAGTCAATGAGCTTTTGGAAAATCACCAAAATCTGCGACCCATACTTTTTGAGAGGGTCAAATTTTACAGTTTTTTTAAACTTCTATATAAACCCTCCGAGCGAGTCCAAGTAACGTATCTATAGAGCAAATCTTACAGGATCGCAGAACAATTTTTCCCTATTCTCCATAGCTCGTCATACTTCTCAACAGAATTTTGATTGATACCACTAATTTCCATACATGGTCAGCTGAGACCTCGTAGACATCAAAGGGAGAGCAGCTTGAATGTCAATGCAGCTTCTTCTCCTCTTTGTAGTAGGTGTTCCTTGCTTCCGATTCGTAAAGTTTTCAAGGATAAAATTTTCATAGCTCATGTTTCAAACGCATCCCAGGCTGTACCCAAAAACTCGAAATGATATTGCGAATCCGTAAACTCTCGTTAACTTTGTAAAAAAATAGTGTTGAATTATGAAACCATCTTGGAAGTTTCAAGGTCCGAAGAATGAGGTGTTTGGAGATTTTGTGGGTGACGAAGGCCTGCCAAAATCCAAAGTAGTAAAAAAAAAGAAAAAATAGTGAAAAAATCTTCAAAAGATTTACGGCGAGCTACGAAAAAGAAGGAAAAAATTGTACTGTTAAACGGGTCCTTTTGATTGGCCTTGCTCAGAAGCAACTCATAAAGCCTTAAATTAGTGGAGAGGCCAGGAATGATATGGGTTTTAGGGCAAAAGTTACAGCATCACATCCCTTTGTACAATTTCTTGCCAGTCTAAAGCTTACACATATTGAGAAATTTACTTTCCTTTGTATTGGCATATTCTTTTTATAAATAAGATTGTAATGCGATCGTGTTCAGGTAACTACTAGGTATCCACGTTATTGCTGAGAGTCTCTAATTTCATGCAATAAAAAATTCATTTTTTCCAAGCAAAGAACATGCATTTACAGTGGTGCTCGAAATTGTTGTGGCATATTGCAGCGATTCAGTGTAAGAAAGAGAGAAAAATTAAAATGCGGATCGATGAGTAGAGGAAATGACTGAACGCCGCCTCAGTCGAAGTAGTAACTGTTTGCCTATTTCACGAGGTTACTTTGATAGGTTCGGAAGTTTACATAGGCAAAATTTTATTTCACTTCACTCCTTCATGCTTTGGAGCTGATAATGATGAAATAAGAGCTCGCTATTATTATTTGATTTGAAATATTGGTTTGCTAATAAAGTTGGGGACGAGAGGAGTAGTGGTATGAGGCGCCGCTTTGACGAGATTGGACGCAGGTTCGATCCCCGCCCCTGGGTCAACCAAGTCCTCTACCCTCTGGAGCCAGTAAATTGGTACCAAAGTAATCGGGAGGATAATACTGACTTGATAAACGGTCAACGGCCCTGTAAGTCATTGTAATAGGCTCGCACGCATACAATTGCCTCTTCGACTATGAAGTAGTGTGCGTTCGGTGCATGCCCGCAGAAAGTTCTGAAGACGCCGAATCCTTTATCCTTTCAATAAATAAGTTCGGTTTCTCATGCAACTTCGAAACTTCATAGCAATACGAGCAGCGCTATTTAAATGAGTTTTTTTCTGAGGAGGTAGCATCAACCCTCTTTCAGGTGACAGATGCTCAATTATTTCCATCGTCAATAAATAGCGATTATGCCCTTATAACGCTAACCCTCGAAAAATTTGTTTTTTTTCAATTTTTTTCGTTGCATGGACGAGTAATTTAGTGGTTAAATATACAAATCTTGGCTACATCGCAAACCACAAAAGAGATTGTAGTCTGCTGCTCGTGACTTTCTGTAGCAATTGTGAAAATTTGCAGGCATTTCTGCATGGAAGCCAGTTTTTGGGTAATCCAGAGTGCTTGAATTTAACCATCTATTGTTGAGCAAATTGTTTGCAAAATTCAAAATTTGTTGTTTGAATGCTAAATGTGCATTTTGAGCTCCAGTCCAATTCGTTTTTCGGGGCTTAATTTGTCGAAAATTTGATGAAAGAATTTGACTGTTTCACTCTCGTGCAATTTCGTTGTCAAAATAATGGTTTTTTTGACGCAGTATTATCCGAACTTGATTTGCTCTTTCCAAGGTACTAAATATTCTTACATATATCAATCGGTGAAATTTTTACAAACCGTAACTACGACCGAACCATTTTTTTTAGCTAACCTACTACCGCTCATAACTCGTCGGAAAAGTCGCCGGACTGCGGCGCACTCTGCCGCACTCCGCCGCAGTCCACTAAAGCAGCGGAGTGCGCCGCAGTCCGCCGCCGTCCGGCGACTTCTTTGACGAGTTATGAGCTGCCTTATATGAAAAGAAAGAATATGGCGCAAATTCTTGCTCTTGCAGTGCATTAGCACTTCCTCACATCGAGTTCACTCAAACAGCGTTTGACTTTGCGAAGAATACTGAGACCGATCTTGTAAAAATGCGTTAGAGGGGAAGAATCGAGTTTCCGCTTTATGCAGAAGCTTTTGTCTTTTTTAGAATTTCATCGCCATGCCATTTCCGAACATTTCATAGAATTGTTGATGGCAAAACATTAATGCAATTACCAAGTTCTTATATCAAAAACAAAAACATACTGCAATTTTATCGAAGCTGCTCACATAAATAGATAAACAGCCGTTCTTTACGGCACACTTTCGTTTCTTCGATGGTTTTTCGTTTCAATCGATTTTGCAAAAAAGAATAAGTCTAGTCTTGTTTTCCCATAACTGAAGAAGCTTGCTACCAGTGATGCTCTCTGATAGATCAGATTGTTCGTTCGAGCGATGCAGCCCTACAAGATGGAATCAGAGCACCCGCGCAAGGATTAATTCATGCTAAGTTTGAAGTCAAGGTCTAAAAATTTCAAAGATTCAACAATCGAAATCCCTTATAAAAGCCCACCCCTCCAATCTGTTCACTGTTACTCTCCTAATCAAATATTTACAAGAACAGTCACTGTATTCTTCCTGTAAACAGAATACGAAAGAGGAAGCAGGGTGAAAATACGAAAATGTCTTCTTTCCATCCATCTTTCCATATTTCTTGAAAACTGCGCTCGTAAAAAATGAAATTCTCTAGTTATGCTTGCAAAGACAGATTTACTTATTTATGAGCAGCAACATTGCTTCCTACAGCATTCCAGTTCTCTTATTTTTTTATTTTCAGCTACGAGAAAAATACAATATTCCTATCGTTGTATGAAGAAAGTATAGGTATAGAAAAGTCTGAGAGTGGTAAAATTCATTTTTCAAAGTTTCGATACTATATTTTCAGCTCAAACGTAGAAACCATCGTGCAAATGTTCAAAGAATAACTTAAGGGCTGGGCATATATTGTGCAATTTCATCGACTCGCAATTCCCACAACAAAACAACTGTTAGATACGAGATCATTGCATGCAGATCATCTTGCATTTCGCTGTAGTGACTAGTCGTGATTAGTCGTGTCGGAAAACCATTACAATCGATATGCAAGATACTCTGCATGCAATGAACTCGTAGCAGTTGTTGTATTGTGAGAATCGCGAGTTGATGAAATCGCATGATGTATGCCCGCCTCTTTAGGAGCTTTGCTTTATCGAATGATATGTTTCTACAATTTTTTGAATCTAATCTCCCGCAGTAGCATGAAGAACATGCAGTAGCAGAGTGCAGCACCTTGCAATCATAGTCAGCAAGGTTTGGTAAATAAGTTGGTGTGCTAAGTCGTTGAAACACTAACATGTAAGTGTTAACTCGACGCGTTAACTTTTTAGTGGTTAGCTACCAGACTTACGTGGATTTTGTCGAGTTTAGACCATTTCTTATTACATAGCAGATAAAAGACATAAATGCAGGATGCGAGTACTGGTCTTCTTGTACCTTCTCGCATCATGCTACTCCCAAATACTGCCGCCTGAACTCACAGGGTTCATGCAGTCAGCTGGGGCAACAGTGACATTTCGCTGTAACGATAGACCGTTTACTAATGCGAAAGTACGGTTGGACGAAGCGGAATTTTGTGAGTCAGAACTGTAAAGTTGAGCTCAGTTCAGATTTTGATTTTAGTTGTTGATGGATGGATGGGTGGACCTGTCAAACCGGACAGATTTGGAGTAGCTAAAGTCCATGGCAGTGCTGCAGAGATAACCCAAATCGATCCATACCTCCGCATCACGCATTGGTGCAATCGATCCGTACGTTCGTTATCTCTTTGCCGATAGTTAGATTCCCAAAGAAGTCGTAGTACCATATTTATAAGATAACACAAATGCTAGACTACTAAAACTCGATTACAAAAGATAAGGTAAAATATGAAAATGTCTCTTTTTCGGTTTTTTGTCGTATTTCATGTCTTTTGAAAACAGCGCTTGTAAATTTGAAAACTAGTCATGATTGCAAAGATGGAGATACGTATGTAGGAGTAGGCCAACATTGCTTTGCCTACAGTATTCCGGTTCTTATCTAGTGCTAAGTCGTGAAACACTAATATGTTGTTTAGGGCATGTCTCCCATTCAGTTCTGCATAGACATCCCACCACAGTTTATAAACTATGGCCGTGAAGTCAAGCGATACTGGCATATCCGATTGGAGCTCTCCAAGAAGCACCCGAAACAAAGAAATTGCTAGGTGGACTATGAACTAAGTTCAAGTCAGCCGTATATATAATACATAAAGGATCGTTACGCCAATTCAAGAAACATCGGATAGCGGGAAACCGCCGTGCGGTCCCGAAGTGATCTAGCATCTTTGATTACTGATTCACTAATCCATAAACAAGTTTAAAGATACACTTGTTATAGGAGAAATTTACGCGTTCTTCTCTATTTTTCCCCTTGTCATTCCTCTAAGCTACACAAGCTTGGTTTTGAAATCCTCCATGATCTTGCTTTTTTGCAAGATTTTTTAGATTACCTCAAGTCTAAAATGGAAATAAAAAGAAAGGAAAAATTGAAATGCTGCGTCAGGCAAAATAAGGCATGAGTGCAACGAAATTTCCGAACTTTAACTGACTAACCCCATATCCTTCACCTCAACTTTGCTCTCATTTTCGAATTTTCCTGAAAAAGGGCGTACTAAAATTAGCTTTTTCGGCTTAACGCTTTAGACTCTATCATAGGAATGTTTCAGATTAGCGTTCGTATGAAGGTGCATGGTTTCTGAGTGTAAACACACATGTATTGCGTTACTGTCTTATCACCACTGTTTGCATAAACAAAGCTATTGAGCTGCGAAGTTTTACCGTGGACTGCTGATGGGCAATGGATTGGCAGACCCTTCCAGTACACTGTAGCCCAAACCCTACCTGCCACTTCATCGGTTCAGTCTAAGGGCTAAACTGTACAGGGAGGGGCTCCATTACCCAACATCAGCACACCGTTATGGCTAGCATTTGAGTTCAAAATCCCTTGCTTCGTATTTATGAGTGCATTTGGAGATGTAGAGAGATTGAAATGAGAATTTTCAATAATAAATTGTTCACCGTCATAGCAGCTCAAAACTTGTTCATATGATCGCAAATCATGAAAAATGAGCAGATATACAGGGTGTCCCAAAAAATGTGAACACTGTTTGACCGTTAATAACTACCTTGCTTTCATGTTTTTCGCCGAGCTTGAGACACCATTCTGTAGAGCGAAGTTCAACTTAGATTTGTAGTATGGAGCGAATCATCGGTTGCTTTTCATTACCGTAGGATTACGGTAGGAACTTTGACAAGGATTTTAGGCCATTAGAGGCCACATTCTGCCTCGGAACAAAACCAAACAAGCCAAAAGCTCTTGTGCTATGGTAATGGAAGCCGCTGATTTCGAATATGAAATTTCCACTGTACTGTGACGCTTCTTTCCGAAGTTATCCAGGTAAACTGTAATAACAGAATTCCCAGCATTTGTCAAAAATGTGATTACCCGGCCAAAAAAGCTAAAAACTCCCGTAAAAAGTTGTGTAATGGATTCAGCGTGCGCGAAAACCCTAGTACACGATTTTTCAGATTTTTTGGAAAAAATTTTATCAGATGGCATATTTCACAATGGATTCACACGCTGGAAGTTCCTACCGTAATCCAATAGTAGCGAAGGGAGATCGGAGTTTTGCTTCATACTGTAAATCTAAGTTGAACCACGGTCTACGAAATGGTGCCTAAAGCTCGGCGAAAGACATAAAAGCAACGGAGTTATTAACGATCAAACAGTGTTCACATTTTTTTGGGACTGTATTGATTCGACATTACAGGTACTAGAATAATCAATGCTGATGAATGGCTAAGCTCCATGCGAATGTCGTAGATTTGAGTAAATGATTAACAAATTCGAATATGGAATGCAATTATTTTAGCCCTGGCCATGAGCATTGGGGGCAACGCACTCCACGAGGTGACCCTAGCAATTCTTAACATTAAAAGTCCCTTTGACTGCACAGTACTCCTTCGACATGCCCTATAGGATGGTTACAGAAAAGGTTCATTGAACGAATACAACTGCAAACCTTTCAGAACTCGAAAAAAAAAACCCGTGGTTTTGTATGGTTTGCTTTGGTGGCATGCTGTGCCCGCCGCGCATCACTGCGCGCTTGGAACAGCATTGCTGCAAGCAAACATTCTGGGGCTGTGACCAAGTGGAGAGGAGAGGTTTGCAGCGGAAGAACGCCTAGATGGATAAGGGGATTTAGAGTAGAGTTATGCCAAAAAGTTTGAAGAACTATGTGAAAACGAACAATTTATGACATTTTCTGATGACGGCCACCTCGGGTGGCCGTTCACCTGGCCTTAATGCTAGCTAAATCTAAAACAAGTTTGCCACGAATTCACCTCACATAAATTCTCCACAGTTTTTCATAAATGGTTCCAACTCTCTACTGCACACCCACACACTGAGTTTTTTTATATGATTACGTTTTAATTGCAAATAAGGCTTTTGTTTAATTGGAGCATGATTTTGAGTTCCCGGCAGCACGAGAAGTGTCCGAACATGTAATCAATGGCTCCGTCCTGACTTGTTTAAACCGGTGAGGAAGTCTGGATATTTGAACTTTTTGTTCAGTTCCACTGTTTTGTGCCTTTATTCTGGGCCCCGCGTCTGGCGTCGCAAGAACCTTCTCTCCTTTGCTTGTCGTTCCCAGAACGATTTATTGTATAAGTGCGTCAGACAAAATATCTGTTGAAAACGCTTAGTTTATCTCATGGTTTTAGTAGAAGCTAATTAGAATGCTTGAACCGCAGAAAAACCCACTTCTTGAGAGCACTGGCTCTAAACGGTTTTTGAGCCGTTTGAGAAAAGTAAAGGTCCCTTTTTGAATTGCACTGGTCAGTCCGTAGCACATATCTCTTGCTTTGTTACTGTGAATTTACAAAAAATTTTGACTCACCAGATTGTTGTTCAAAATGAGCTTCGTTTGAAGTGTTTGTATGGTTATGAACCACTAAAAATTCGCATTCGGTGCAAAAACATACATGTGCCGCGTATACCGTGTTCGACTATTCTCTTTCGCGTAGTACTGACGCTTTTCGAGTTTTTTTCAAACTTCCAAAATACGGGGTGTTCGCATAATTGTGAACCGCACTCTAGCAAAAAATGCATATGTGTTAGCGCCAGCAATTTCTGGTTGACCCTCTTACTTCATTGATCGAATGGAATATGAGGTTGTGCGAAAAGTTCACGCATTTTCTATTCAATTTTTTGATTCTAAAAATTTTACGCGGTGTTCACTGAAGTGCATGATTTTTGGAAGCGCTTATCATGCTCCACATGCATGTAACAGAATTTGAGACTCTGAGCTTGAAAGCGGAGAGATGAATGTTTTTGACTATAATATCAGGTCATTCCGAAAGTAATTTCGCTTTTTTCCAACAGGCGCCACATTTGATAGAACAAAGGTTATTGAGAGATCCTAAATGCATTCGATGCAGAATTTCATTCTCTTTCTAATGGTTGTGAAGTTGTTGCAAAACAGTCAATGTGCTTTCAGAAAATAACCAAGACTTGCGACCCATGCTTTTTGAGATGGTCAAGTTTCACAATTTTTTAAAACTTTCATGTCACTCCTCAGAAGGAGTTCAAGTAACGATTCGATAGAGTAAACCTATAGAATACAGTGCAACTTTTTTCTCTTTTCCATAGCTTGTCATACATTTTCAATAGAATTTTAACTGATGCTACCGATTTCCATACTTGGGCAGCCAAATCCACGTAGAACATCAAAGAAAGAGCAGCTCGAGCACTATTCAATGCAGCACTTTCTCCTTTTTCTAATAGGTGTTTTTTGTTTCCGATTCGTTTAGTTTCCGGGGAGAAATCATCATAACTCATTTTTTTAGCGAGCCCCAGGCTGTACCCGAAAAACTCGAAATTTGATATTTCGAACCCGTAAACCCTCAATTGCTTTGTAAAATTAATGCTAACTCATAGTGCCATCCTGGTAGTCTCAAATTATGAAAAATTATGATGTTTGATGCGATTGTGGCTGAGGTGGGCCTGCCAAGATCTGATGGTTTTGTCAAAAAAATCTTTTAAAAAATTACGGCGAGTTACGAGAAAGAGGAAAAAGTAGTGCTGTATTCTATAAGGTTTACTCTATCGAATCGTTACTTGAACTCCTTCTGAGGATTGACATGAAAGTAACTTGACCATCTCAAATGCATGGGTCGCAAGTTTTGGTTATTTTCTGAAAGCTCATTGATTGTTTTGCAGGAAATTCATAACCATTAGAAAGAGAATGAAAATCTGCATTGAATGCCTCTAGGATCTCTCAGAAACCTTTGTTCGATTAAATGTGGCGCCCGTTTAAAAAAAGCGAAATTACTTTCGGAATGACCTAATATTTCTTCTTTCAAATATTCAGAAAGCGCAAAAGGGCTCCACTGTTATGTATGGATGGAATATTAAAATTTTTTGATACACGTAGATGTTGCTGACATGGGAATGGTTAGTCAAAGTGACTTTATGAAATGAAGGGTATACCGCAAGGCATATATCACAAATTCCAATTTAGCCTTCATTATCCGTTGCGGTCGCGGGGGCATGGTGTTATGAAGCTTTTTATGAGCGAAAATTCGAATGCTTGAATAGCGTAAAACCACTCGTTTTCTTTCTAGTGTTTATATGAGGCAGCGGAGTGGGTATTTTCAGATGGATTAATCAAGTGATCCGACAATAAAGGGGCTCCAATCAAGCCCTAGGAAATGTTAAGGAAAACTCTCATGACTCCTCGTGGAAACTGGCAGCGGATACTCATGGCCGAGGAGTCAGCGTTTCGTGCCCTTCAAAACAGTATAAGCAAATGACTTTAAACATGTTTAAAGCAGTTCACACAGCACGATCAGAATTTTCAATACTAGCGTGAAAGGGAAAGTCATGGGGATGGGACACTTAGATAACCGTAAGTTTCTCAGATAAGCGAGATGATAGAATCTTTCAAATGATGTTAAAACATACAGTGCTGGCCAAAACTATAGATCCACTCTAAAAAAATGCCAAAGTTCATCTACTTCAACGGATTGATCTGAAATTTGGTACAGCTGTGTGTTTAACAGGCTTCCATTAGTGAGTAGAACGGATCCCGCTTTCGCCTGATTATTCAGGAAAAAAATCAAAATTTCGAAACAAGCAGGCTCGAAGGTTGGCTAAAACTATAGATCTACTCAAAATTTTTGCATATACATAGTCGAGAGTCAAAGCAGTGGCTTCAGTCCAGCTGTTTATAAGAAACGCTTATCGGCTTCTTTTCATTTGAAAATTCTTTCAAGCGTATTTTGTCCCGAGAATGTATTTTTATAGAGGGTGTCGCACTTTTGACGGCTTGAAAGTGATAATGCTCCATCTATCTTATAGATGCTTAGCAGTGCGAGCAGTAGAAAAAAATTCGAGTTTTTTTATTTGAAGTGCATTCCAGATAGACCTAACAGCAAGCCTGCGCTGGAAATTTTGCCTTCAAAATTGGTGTACGCTATTTTTGTAAGCTCAAAATAATGTAGAAGCATTATTTAACACTAGCTGGGTTTCCCGGTCCAGCCCGAGTCATTGGTCACCTACACTGCGAGCCCCCCCTTTTTTCTATAACGCACATACCCTCCAAACTGACAATTTTTGAGTTATATATATATTTGATTCAACTGGTTTAGCTCCGTTAGGGCATGCTGCTCGCGCCCACGACGCACCTGCGTCTCTCGCGCGCGAGTGCTCTCTGATCATTACCTAGCCTTAATTAGGTCACGAAGCCCGCCTTTGCCGAAGCTCAGCCAGCTGAATCAATTGTATATACATATACCAGTGTTTCGCAGAGGCTCGCACTGGCGCTACTTTCTTAAGCCTTACTCAATCTCGCATAATAACGAAATTGAAACTCATCGCGCTATGTAAGTTATCACGAATAATTCGTAAACACCTACTCATTCGTAAAGGTTTTCCATGTGAGATCGGTATTTTCGCGTGGATAAAATCTTTCCCAGAAGAACAGATGCAATTTTGAATAGGTTTTTGGAATTTTTATGTCTTGGTAGTCGCCATAAGGACAGTAAACATAGTGGGCTACATCTCTGAGCAAAAATCTTCTCAGATGATTAGGTAAAATCTTGAAAAATTGACAGTTTACAGCGAATGCTTTTTGGCGCTTTTTTCGTAAAGTAGTAGACTTTTCATTACTTTTTTAGGCCAGCGTTCATGGCTTGCACATTAGCTTGTCAAATACATCCTTTACTTTGCAAAAAGTAGTACTACGGGCCCAAATTTGCTGGCCAGAAGCTAAGTGGATCCGTTTGAGGCGCAATTTTCAATGGATCCACTCAACGGATCCGCTCACGCTTTTGTATAGTGAGCTTCCACGCTGGTAACGTGCGCTATGCAAAATTTGGGCTCAGGACGTTGGCTGGAACACGCTCTACGAATTTCGTCACACACACACAACACACATACATACATACATACACACACAACACACACATACATACACACACACAACACACACACATACATACACACACAACACACACACATACATACACACACAACACACACACAAACACAAACGTAAACAATTCTTAGCCCGTTATTATAAGTTATGATAGATTATTCGCATTAAAAGAAGATTGTAAACTACCACGATTGTTCGCGATCGCATTCTTATTCTTTTTCAAAGCATAAGTCTTGCGGTGTGTTCGGCAAACTCAAAGTACTTATCAAGTGGTATAGGTGTTTTCCATGCGTATAGCGAGCGTGGCCCTGCAGACATTTGAACACGTTGAAAAACCTGTTGAACCTCCACTTTAGAGCATTGGTTTTTGTAATCTCTAGCTATCAAGAACTGCGACGCGCACACGTTGGCAAACGTCGGCAAAGCTCCGTCCGCTATACTGTGGGGAATAGAAGATAGCTTCCTTGAATTTCGCCACTATTTAACTGCTGACTAGTGAATACACCTTGTACTGTATGTTGCCTTGTGACTCACATAAGCATTATGGTCAAAACCAGAAATAACTTCAACGCTTGTTGCAAATCACTTTTTGCAGGATGAAGTCCTTGATTAGCCTGCATATTAGGATTTGCAGAAATCTGCAACCACTGCATACGGACTCTCATACATACTAACAATATCATTACTCCAGTTCACGCTCATGACAACATTGCAGAAAGAGTTTGAAGGCATAAATTTGAACGCAGTGTTTCTATCTATGTCGGCTGCGCTTTGGATGCGAAAACTCGAATTTTTTTCTACTGCTCACACTGCTAAGCATCTGATAGATGGAGCCCATCACTTTCAAATCAGTGAAAAAAGCGCTTGAAAAACACATTCTCGGAAACAAAGTACGCATGAAAGTATTTTTAAGAGAAAAAAAAGCAGATAAGCGTTCCTTATAAAGGTATGACACAGCTGAACTAAAGCCACTGCTTTCACTTTCAACTATGTATATGCACAAAAGACTTTGGAAGCTGAGAATTACTTTAGTAGACAGAAATTTTAGGTGGATCTATAGTTTTGGCCACCCTTCGAGCCTGCTTTTTTCGAAATTTTTGACTTTTTTTCTGAATAATCAAACGAAAGCGAGATCCGTTCTATTCACTAATGGAAGCCTGTTAAACACGCAGCTGTACCATCAGATCGATTCGTTGAGAAGAAGATGAACTGCAGTTGTTAAAGTGGGTCTATAGTTTTGGCCAGCACTGTATTATTCTCGTTTAGCCAATATTTGCATAAAATCATTCATATGTCCGGTAATTTTTATACTTGCAAACGAGAAGCTAATCACTTCGACAATTTACAATTCTTGAGCAGCATCTGCGCAGTACATCCCGTGAGACCATTCAAGTTACCACAGACGTAATGGGCCATGGGAAAAAATCAGCATGCCTGCAATGACCCGCTGGTATCAACGGTGGAAGTGAAGCGATATAGATGCTAGCATTTCCGAGAAAGGAGATGTGCAACTCACTTCTTCACAAGTAGAGGTACAGTTTTTTACCACTATCTAAAGCGGTATTTATCAAACTCTAGTACGCTCTCATTTGAGGATCCTACGGTGGAGAGCAGCACGGCAACATGCGAGCGGGCGACATCAAAGACGCCTGTTGGCATAAACTACCTGTGCATATCGCAAACGCATAAAAACCCTTCATTTTGCTGTTTTTCCTTCCCTTGCGGTCATCGAGCACAGTTGTATTTATACGCACCTTTAATGATTACTTCAGCAATAATAAAGTCAGACTGAGGAATTAGTCATCTTTCTTAAAAAGTGCCGAAAACGGCCAATTCGTTCTAAACATGGTAAACATTGAATAATATTGTATTGTAAGTCTATCCATGACACAAGGATGAGTTAGAATTGCAGAAATGTGCAAAGTAATCAAAAGTGTTATTTCTTGGCTTATTTGAAACAGTACGCTCGATTTGTATAAAATAGAAGGCCGGATTAGATAACAGTAATTACAGAATTTCCCATCATCACCGTATTGTCTCAAACCTCGAGGGCCCGATCTGGCAAGTTTGGCCATGTCGGGCACAGTAGGCCCGATCTCGACAGATTGGGCCCTGATGCCCGTTTGGGCCATGCAAACCAACCTTTCGTATAGCACAGGTTGAGCGCTCTCGCCTGCCAGGGCCGTGTATATAGCGGTGCAATGCGCCCGAGCAGCGAGATGGAGATTGACGGATATCGGCTTTGGTGTTTGAAGCACGGCGCGAGCAATTAGGCTCTACAATGCCTGTACAAGTCATGCTCTCGCAACATGTTAGCCGCGCGTAGTCCGCAACGTTTGTGTTGTACTCGCGATCTGCTACTCGAGGGCACAAGTGTGAACTAACTGAAAAGCAAATCACCCTTCCTTTTCCATTGCTGTATTAAGTAAGTGTCACGAGTGAATTACCTGCCACATCACATTCATCGTTTAGGTTGGCGGTAATTTCCGTTGCACTTTTTTTAATTCTAGAAAAATCCTGTATCCCCTTAAAGTCTTCAAATTTGCTTCACACTACGTAGGGCACAATAGGGCCTACCCATCAGCATGATTGTTTTCGCAAATGCACAGATAGCCAGCAAATTTACGACAGTTTTGTCAACATGAGTACTCAAAATTTTTATTTTTTCGATTTTTTCCTTTGCGTGTAGTGTTTCTTGTCTTCTGTGATTTTTTGAAGAATGTATCCGAGCACTGTCTGGTAACGGCTATAGGTTGCCGGCAACTGCTGCCAGGGTTATCGGTCGTTGTAGAACCTCATAGTAATCTCCGTGAGTGCGCTCTTAGGCCTCGGACAGACTTCACGCGAATTAGTCGTCGCGATCTAATCGCCAAGATTTCCATTCATTTTCATTTCACATTCAAAAATTTCGGGCTGGGAAAGTATCACAACCGAATGCAAGTTGATCGGCATGGAATGATGTTGTAACAGTTGTCTCGTCGCGACTCAGTCGCGACGATCAAATCGCGTGAAATCTGCCCGGGGCCTTATGCGCCTAGTGGCCCCGCCCTCAGCCACCCCAGCATACCCGGTAACCTACTGCCGATCCGTCTCTTTTACAGCGGCACTTTGGTGAAGCTAAGTGTCAAAGGGCGGAAAGTACAACAGGAAATCCAAAAGTAGTGCCACGTTGAAAACACTATGCACACTTGGAGACCCTAGATACAAGCTACGTAGCAGCCTTCACTTAGCGGATTGGAACTTGCATCACACTATTGACAAATGGAACTCAGCTTAATCCGAGTATTACCGCAAATCATGCTTTTCACACATGTGGAACTTTTCTGGACTAAATCACGATGATGATAGAGCGATTGGTATGGCACATAAAAGTAGAGTACAACCGACCACAATCTTACTAGCTCTGGGGTTGCACCACTTGCGTCAAATGAGGCGTAATTTCAGCGATTTTTGCTTTCGCATAGGACATCAGGAAGCCCTCTCTGACGTTTCGCAAACATCACAACTGAATATTTTACATCTGCAAAAATGTTAGAACGCTTGCAGAAAGAATAAGAGTGATGTACGTGAGACAACAAATAGCGTGAACAACGTTTTTTATAGTCATGCTAACAAGTTGTAAACAAAAGAAGTAGACTGGAATAGTCAATTAGAGTGGATTGTACAGAAGATATATTTTGATGATGTTGCTTAGAAGATGTGAAGATGCGTCATCGGTCCTTTTTTATATCGAAGAAACATCATGCTTTCAAAGTGGCCACGCCCGATGCGGAAGAGATGAAAAATATGCTGCCGTTCTATAAAAGGAGGCTCTATTTAAATTCGGAAAGAGGTGATGCCTACCACTGTGTTTCTTCTGCATCCTAGTTTTTTCTTCAATCTTTTCTGGACGTCTTCATTGAAAATCGCGCACATCCAAGGCTGAACACAGCACAAAAACGCGTTTGCAAGCGGATACAAGAGCTTCCAGTTGTTTAATAGGTCAATCTGAAGATTTAGGAAAGTGAGTTGTCGACTCTGAATGAACAATCGCTTACTAGTCCTGCTTGTTTCATGGTTTCTATTAAATAGACAAAAACGTAGCTGCCAATATTGTATATAAAAATAAGCAGAAATGCGACTATCAGTCCAGCAACCTGGATGCTGAGACGAATCTCATTTTTCCTTGTCCTAAACTATGAATTTCGAAGCTGTTTTTCAATGCATAATAAAGTCGCTCGCTAAGACAGTTCGCAACTGAACCTACGAGCCGACAGAGACAGCATAACTGTGGCATGTCATACCTGTTCAACGGCGCTTTGTTTCGCACCATATATAGGAGTACTGGGACATAACAAAATACACATATTATGAAAGATATGACGATTGAAATTATAGACATGATGTTTAAAAGCTGAAATGAGTAGTGTGACAATTATTTACATTAATTACCTCAAAGAAAATTATTTGTTTTAGTATATGCTTCCTTTGGCCGATAACCTAGATTTATAACACGCTTTGGTCAGCCAGGCTAACGTTTAGGTACCGCTACCTTCGCTGGAGCTCGTCAGTCTTCGAATCGGGGTCGAGCAACCACCGAACACACGCGTTTGAACATTCAGTAAATTTTCTTCGGTTTTCTCCAAATTACAAGCTTCCACGAGGCTAACTTTGAGTTTACCTCAAATCTTCGTATGATTCTGAAACACCTACGATGGACCTTTTGTAATTTTTAGAAATGTTCAATTTTGTGTAGTTTATAAGGATGACGCTCAAGCACTCAGAAAATAAGAGCAGCTTTCTCAGTGGGAAGAACTGACCATGCGCACCCGTTTTGGCGTGCACTAGACATATTGGAAGCGCAATCAACCTTCAATTTCCAATTCTTCCAACGGTAGTCTATATGCGTACTGGCTTACGACGTTATTCATATGACTGATCACAAGGCAGCTTAGTGTAATTTATTAACAATAGCCACTCCCGCGTGGAATGTGCACGGCTGTTAGGGATGTGCAGTTTGTGGAGCGGACAAATCCGCGACAGTTTGCAGTATTGAGGTTACACAAGATAAAGCAACACAAGACACAGCAACAATACTTATAAACATATCAATCATTCTCTCATCAAGGCTAACTCGATTTCCCTCTTTTTTAAAAATTAATGTAGTCATATCCATTTTTGCCTGAAAAACCAAAAAACGAATTGATTATGCCTCTCTTTGAAAAATTAAGAAAATCCCCGCCTAATGAAGCTAGATTTTTTCAACGGTATACCACATGCTCAAAAACCGCAGAGCATAGCAACTGAGTAACAGCGATCAAAACTGCTCGACTCCTATAAAGCGGCAACTAAAGACCGTGGAAGAAGTATTAAGCTGATGCAAAGATATGCACGTTTCTTATATTCTGTGGCAGAGTAAGTAGAAAAATGCAGTGTGAAACATGTTATTGATAAAGCAAAGCAATCTCTACAAGACGGCGTAGTCGCGCAAAACCTGATCTACGATTTTCAAAGCCAAAACTCAAAAAAAATATAACCAATTTCAATTCAAAAAGTGCTGCAGACCTGCAGCATCGCATGCACTTACTGGACATTCATGTGTGCACTTGATGCAATTTTTGAATGGCTAAAACACGAGAAACAAATCCTTAAGAATAGATGCTAATTTGACGCTTTTTAAAAGCTGATTATATGAGGCCGGACAATGATAAATATTTTTGCAAAGGCCTTTAGTGCAAAATATGATTTCTGAATGTGGAGGCTATTGAATGGCGAAGGCGCAGAAGCAGTCTTAGATGAGCGTGCGCGAACGCGGCGCACGCGTATCCTCACCATTGTAAATCCTGTGCGTCATGGGCTCTGCGGCTAATTAAGCTGCGTGCGCGCCTTAAGATATTGTGCCTTCGTATGCAGCACCCTATACAGACAACAGGGCACTTTACCAACCTACGAAGGTTACACCTGCTGTGAATTTGAGGTCTACCAGTATTGAATTTGAAGGCATCTGGCAAATTACGATATCGTGTGGCAACTGAATCGCGTAAGGTGTGCCTTGGGCCTAAGGCACACATGATTCATTCAATATCTACATTTCGCGAAATAAAGAGCGTGATGCCGCATTTAGTCTTCGAGTGGATAAAGTGGATAAGCATAGTTGTGCCTAGACCACAAAACCTAAAGCCTAAACCCTCATTTCGCTATGTGTAGAGCACACCCCTATGCAATTTTTCGCCCATTCAGTGAGACTGGTGATACGTAAGTAAACAGAGTATACGTGTAGTTCAATTTGCTATGGTCAATGGAAGTGGATGAAAGTGGCAAGGTGATGATTTCCCGCATTTTGCTTCCTTGTGGCTTTACGTTAAAATTAAGCTTCAGTTAAAAGTTACCGCTAGGATATCATTTGACAAATCAAATTCTAGATCGAGAGTATATGAGCCTTTGAGAGACGTGGAAAGTGGTGCAGTCATCAAAACTGGGAGAAACCAGTGCAATATAACAAAAGCGATTGGCGGCGTTCCACTGATCATCTGCAATCAATCAATTTACATGTAAACAAATCACAAATTTTTCTTTAAACAGTTGTTTTTAACTACAGTATCTAACAGCCACCCTACAAGACTTGTTCTTGACATGTCGCGCACGCGGCGACACTAGTCTATAACTTGTGAAACTATTTCAGCACAGCGCACACTTCGCTGTGCATGAACTGATCCGGAACTCACATTTCAGTATGAACCCAGCCTCTGCCTTGCAAAAGTCGCAGCGCAACGGAAATACAAATGTACGGAAATCCCTAGCATATTACGATGATTTGAGTTTACAATCAGCTCTACTATTCCATAATGTTGCCCGTAAGATGGACGGAGAACCATGCCACTAATAATATTAAACTGCTCAAGGACATCAACTATGCATTATCGTTTTACTCTCCCCTTATTTCTTGTGATAAGACTATGCAGTACATTCTTTGTCCATACTTCTTCCCTGCTTCCAACTAACACAGCTCTGACAAAGAGCAACGAAGAGCAGTTGAATGAACGGTCGTTACAAATGTGTACGTCACCTCTGCTTTGCAGAGGATCGCACTTGCTCTTCCAATCGTGCCCTTCTAATCGTAAGCCATCTTCGTAATCGCAAAATGGTGACTTTGAAACACAGTGCGCAACGCTGAATATAGAGGTGAGTTGTAAACAATTACTCATTCCTAATGCTTTTCATGTAAATCGTTAACTTTGGGTGAAACAATCTTGATTGCAACATGTGAACTTGAATTATTACCGAGTTTATTTTGTGATTGTCGCCGTGCGATCGGCAATAATCTTTGTGGGCGACAAACTTTAATGAAAAATCTTCTTAATACTGGGTAACCATGATTGATTGACAATCTACGCACATTTCTTTTCGGCTGCGTTTTCGCAAAACAGACTTTTAATTGCTTATGGACTGAAATCAGAGCCTTGAAGATCTATTTGTTGAATAAATGAATGATTTGCGAATATTCTGAACATCGACCCAGTTTTGTGGGCCACCGGTGATGTGATCCCGTATGACGCGCTTTTTTGGAGCGGCTCATCCTTATACATAGCGGAATCACATGTCAGTAGAAGTTGTGCGAGTTCGAGCTGGGAACTAGCTTTCAACCCGCTCTATAGGATGCGGATAAAATACTGTCCCTCCAACATGGCTCCTGTAATAACTCAAACAAAAAGCAAATCCGTAGTTTTTTGATTCCTACACGTAGGCGAGATCCTTGAGATTACATAAAGATAAGTTTGATTTGCAACTGTTCCCTTCTGTCCGCTTGAACGAGTGATAATAGCGCGCAGGAACATCAATGATGCGCCGATAGCATACAAGCGTGATTTTGGGCCGTAACTATACCACCAGCATTGATATAAGGTTCAAATCAGACTGGTATATAGTGCATAATCTCTTCTCCAATATTCTATACCCATTATAGATGAATCATAGATTGATGACTCTTATTTTGGCCAAATAAGGAAGATTATATCACACGCAAATCGCAAAAATTCTCGAAAAAAGGCGAGTCTGAACAGCGCTTGCTTAATTAACTGGATTCAAACTATGATTCGAAATTCCAGATTCCAACAAAAAGTAATAGGAATAACAAAAGAGCATCGGACTTTGTCCATATTACGACTTTGGAGCTATGAACGATTATACCCAGTCTCTTTGCCATGTTTTCTGATCGCGCTCTGTTGCTCCGCAGCCATTTTCTCGTTAGAAAAACTCACAGCTTTTCTCTTATTGCAACTCTGACTGGATACTTTCAGAATATTTCGGGTTCCACTACCAAATTCCTTAAGCATTAGGGGATTTCTCAAGTTCGCGTGACAAACAAAAAATTTCCCAAAAATCCTCATACTTCTTCACATTTGAAAGGAGAGTTTCAAGAATTGATATGAGATGCGCTGCGAAAAGCGCTCCGCTGCCGGTTAAAATTGTAGAATTTTAAATTCATTTTTTGTAAAATGCTAGAACATTCCCATCTTGAAGATTATTTCAAATTTACCAGAAAAAACTGTAAATTACGCCGATTTTTTGAACTTTATTTTAAGGGACAGTATTTTCCGCACCCTGTATGAATTTCACAGATAGACATACATACACACAAAGAAGCGGTTTTAGCGCTTTGTTGTAAGTCATGATTACACATTTACCTCTTCATATCTTGTTCCATGCCGGCAAACAATGATATATCTTTGAAGAGATATCAGTGTGATGCCCGTATATCTGAGAAACAATGAATAATTGATAGCTATGATTGAAGCATTAGCCAAGAAATATCGATGCTTCCAAAAGAGTTCATCGCACAATTCGGATTTCCGTGAAACAACGAAAAAATCGTAACAAAAGATAGAATATACATCGGCAACACCCTGAAGTGAGTTTGTACACTCGGCTCAGATTTTTTTGCAGTGAGTGTGATCTAGTCATACCTGTGAAAGCATGAGTATATGAAAAAGAGACAGTTTTGGCCTCCACCAAATTACTAGCATCACCATTAGATATAGCGGTAGGGTTGAAGTAGTGGTTATGGCAAAGACAATTTGTCCCCAGTTTAACATTGCCTGAAGTTCTTAAGAATCAAGCTTGGAAAGATTTCGTATGAGACTGGTGTAGGGAAATAATAGCGTGCAAAAGAACAAATAAATTGGAGTCTTCTATTACAAAACTATAGTCAACCTGCTGTTGCCACTGCGAACCTTATTGGCAAAAAAATATTTGCTTTTATTTTTTATTTCAATGCACCTAAAAAAGCTATAAATATCATTGCTCCTTCCAAATAGTGCAACACAAAAGTCACTACAAGTTTGTTCAAGTGACTACTTCTTCTTCATTCCAACATTTCGTACTTTCTTTTACGAGATGTAAATTGAAATCACATTTTTTGCGTAAGTGTATTGCGTATTACTCCCGCCCCAAGCAGATAATAAAGCTGATGCTCAAGGACATAGAGAAACTAAATAATGTTACAACGAGTACAGAGTCGTTGGTTGAAGGTACTGCCTTCTTCAATTAATAGTTCACACCTCGATTTTTCAAAGATTCTGAGTATATGTAGTGCAGAAGTTCAAAAAAACTTCCTCGTTATTTTTAAAGTAATAAAAACATAGCAGGTTGCACAACAGCATTTACTTGGTGTCATTGTTGCGCCAGTGGTAAACTCGTCACTTATGTTTGCCTCAATTCGATTGAAATGCACGACAATGCTTTTATACATTCTTGAATGCTTTGAAAGTTACAAAGACGAAGATGAGCTGGAGAAATCGTTTGAAAAGCAATTGGACATTGATCGGACAAAAAGAGTGGATTGCGTCCTACGTTTTTCAACGACTAAAAGGCCTTTGAACAAATGACTGTGTAGTAGTGACGACTGCGAAACCCACTTTCCAAGTTTCTTGGA